AAGTTATTCCGTCTGATACGAGAAACGGGCAGCAGGAGAGCTGGTGTTAGTGAAACTATACGTGACGAGAGTGGACAGCCTATCCACAATTTGTCAAAACGTCTGGAGCGTTGGGCTGAGCATTTTGAAAAGCAATTTAATCGGTAAGAATTGTTCGATTCGCCGGTCACTGATCGCCCCGCTCCGTGGGCTGTCCCTTTGGATCCACCATCTCGCTCAGAAGTCGAACGTGAGATCGGACTGTTGAAGTTGAACAAAGCCGCGGGACCAGATGATCTTCCTCCAGCCCTCTTCAAATTTGGAGGCTCTGCTCTTGTTGATTCTTTGCATGAATTACTAGTGAAACTGTGGGAGCAGGAAACTGTCCGAACCGACTGGAGCCGCTCCGTTATTGTTCCCATCTTCAAAGGCGGCTCGCGCTCGGAATTCGGCAACCATAGAGGAATCAGTCTGATCTCCATCGCCTCCAAATTACTCGCGTCCATAATTCTCCACAGACTGACTGGCGCTCGTGAAAGCCAAATTCGTGAGGAGCAAGCCGGGTTTCGTCGTGGTCGTGGCTGCATCGACCACATCTTCACCTTGCGTCAGTTGTTGGAGCACCGTCACACATATTGGCGGCCCACCGCTGTCGTGTTCCTCGACATCAAAGGTGCCTTCGATTCGGTTGATCGATGTGCCCTTTGGAATTGTCTACTCAGGAAAGGTGTGCCCGAGAGATATGTAAATATTATCCAAGCATTCTATGCGCGTAGCACGGGCAGAGTGTGGGCTTACGGCAAGTTGTCGTCGCCCTTTAATATCTCCAGCGGTGTGAGACAAGGATGCCCGCTGTCACCTTTCCTATTCAACTTCGCTATTGATGAAGTCATGGAGATTGCATTTACAGGACATGACTTGGAAGGTGTGGAGCTACTCCCAGGAGAACGACTTCTTGACTTAGAGTATGCAGACGACATTGCCCTCATCTGTGACAGCTCCCAGACGTGTCAAGCCGCGCTGGACAGATTAGCACTGGCTGTCAGTCGCTTCGGGCTTTGCTTTGCACCACCGAAGTGCAAAGCGTTCCTCCAGGATTGGCAGGGTTCGCCCCCTGTGCTGACCCTTGGTGGGGATCAGCTAGAAGTCGTTCAGAAATTCAGTTACCTGGGAAGTTGTATCAGCGCCCTTGGGATCGAAGATGAGATCACGAACCGCATAGCGAAAGCTGGAAATGCTTTTGCTAACCTTCGCCACCTATGGCGACGGCGCGACATTACTCTCGCCCTGAAGGGTAGAGTGTACAATGCAGCGGTACGTTCGACCTTACTGTACGGTTGCGAAACCTGGCCCCTAAGATCGGCGGACATGAAGAGGCTAGTTACGTTCGACCATCGGTGCCTTCGCAGTTTGGCTCACATCTGGTGGGAACACCGCATGAGTAACGAGCGTGTTCGACGCCTTGTTTACGGCCTAGGAAAAGGGAATGAACCGCTCAGCACCGACATTTCACTCACCAGGCTCCGATGGCTGGGCCACGTGTTGCGCATGCCAGCCCACCGACTCCCTCGACGTACGTTGTTTGCTCACCGGGGATGTGGGTGGAAGAAGAGGAGAGGTGGCCAAGCGATGACTTGGTCCAGAGGAATGAAGGCCCTCACTTCGGAGCTGGTCTCAGTTGGAGCTTCACGGCTCCCTGGTTGGGGTCCAAAAGACGGTGAACACGTTTGGCTGGATACACTTGCTGATATGGCAAGGAGCCGACCTCAGTGGCGTTCCTGCTGTGAGTTTCTTTGTCCCTCCCCATCCCTATAGCCTCCCCCTCCATCTACGATCTTATTTCGTAGGGTAAAACGTAATTAAATTTTTGTTTTTGCCTAGTAGCCGACTAGTAGCTTACCGGAACGATGCGGATCCGTTGCTGGTAGCTCAGCTGGCATTCAACTGTCGTATTTATTTTTCGTTTATGTATTGTATGTATGTATGTATGTATTTCCTTTATGTATTGCGGTACAATAGCGGAGGTGTTTTTACCATCTCTAGCTGACATGTATAATGATGATGATGATGATTAGAGCAGATTCCCAGAATTTGAAGAGGGCTCGGGGAATTTTATCTGCCCCTGCAGCCTTATTCAATTTCAACGGACTGATCTCACGTTCGACTTCTGCGCGTGAGAGCGGATCCACGGAGACGGCCCAAGAAGGGCACTCAATGCCCGAAAAAGATGCTGACAACTCAGATTGATTAAATTGCCTTGCAAAGTGTTCAGCCCAACGTTTCAAGCGTTTTGACAGGCTGTGGATCGGCTGCCCACTTTCGTCGCGTATTGTCTCGCTAACACCTGGTCTCCTGCTGCCTGTTTCCCGTATCAGACGGAGTAATTTACAATGATTGCCACCGGTAGCGGCTGTTTCAATCTCAGATGCACAATGAGACCATCAGCTTTCGCGGTCTTTCTTCATGCTAGCACCTAGTTTTGCCCTGAAAATTTTGCGAGTTTCATTGTGTTCGCTTTCAGCCGGAATACGTCGGCAAGCATCCATAAGTACGAGAGACTGTGTAGAGACCCAATGTCCGGTTTGGCAATTTGCTTTGCCACATGAAGACATACCTGCTAACAGTAACGTACGAATATGCGGGATGTGCAAATATATGTATGGTTGGCGCCATCCGGTTTCGGATTTGCCTGTCACTGTGGCAAGCCACAGGACGCCTGCGCCTACAGAGGGACCATGGATGGTTTGCGCTGCACCACCCACAGCTCCAACCACATACCCCATATCCAGTGTAAACCCGAAGGAATAAGACCGGGAGGCATGCGGATGGGAACCACGTTTCATCAACGGAGCCGGCCCACACTCCTTCACAGGCAAACACAAGCACGCTGTATTTGGGGAATCAAGCTCACACAAGGCGGTGGCTGGACCGTAGTCCGCTCCACACTGAGTGCATGGAACCGCTCTTTGAGCCTAGCACGACCACAAGAACCGTGCACCCCGTCCCCTCCAGCAACGACCAACTGTCTCCTGGAGCCAGTATGAACGATGTAGTGGGTAATAGACAGGTGTGCACCTTGTCAACGTACACATCAAGCGCAACCATACCAGGGATATCATACAACAGCCATTCACTTTCAACGACAAGCTGAAATAAAATAAATCCAATAATGCATGCAGATACGGTGGCATAACTCTTCGCTAAATTAGCATCTGAAGTAATTTGGTTAGCAACAAATCCGTGATAAGTAAGAAATGTCCACAAATTACTTAAAGTGCTACAAACGCAACAAAATTACCGAAGATAAGCGCAATTAGTGTAAGCAACGTGGCCAGTTAATAGAACATTATTCAGGGAGGCAGAACAAACCAAATAAAGCGGAATGCAATTTATCCAGCTTAAAAAGACCTAGTTTAAGTGTAAGGTGGTTTAGCCCAACTGCGGTGAAGAAGCATCAAGAATGCAACATCAACCTCAGCATGGGGCACACATACATACGTGGTTGGCGGCATCCGGTTTCGGATTTGCCTGTCACTGTGGCAAGCCACAGGACGCCTGCGCCTACAGAAGGACCATGGATGGTTTGCGCTGCACCACCCACAGCTCCAACCACATACCCCATATCCAGTGTAAACCCGAAGGAATAAGACCGGGAGGCATGCGGATGGGAACCACGTTTCATCAACGGAGCCGGCCCACACTCCTTCACAGGCAAACACAAGCACACTGTATTTGGGGAATCAAGCGCACACAAGGCGGTGGCTGGACCGTAGTCCGCTCCACACTGAGTGCATGGAACCGCTCTTTGAGCCTAGCACGACCACAAGAACCGTGCACCCCGTCCCCTCCAGCAACGACCAACTGTCTCCTGGAGCCAGTGTGGACGAGGTAGTGGGTAATAGACAGGTAGGCACCTTGTCAACATGCACATCAAGCGCAGCCACACCGGGGTAGCACGCAACAGCCAATCACTTTCAACGACAAGCTGAAATAAAATAAATCCAATAATGCATACAAATACGGTGGTATAACTCTTCGCTAAATTAGCATCTGAAGTAAGTTGGTTAGCAATGAATCCACGATAAGGAAAAAGAATGTCCACGAGTTACTCAAAACGCTACAAATGCAACAAAACTATCAAAGATAAGTGCAGTTAGCGTAAGCGACGTGGCCAGCAAATAGAAGACTATTCAGATAGACAAAACTAACCAAATATACTGGAATGAAATTTATGCAGCTTAAAGAGACCTAGTATACATACATACATAAGCCTTAAGGTCAGCTGCTATTGCTTGTTTTGCCTTCCCCATGCTTATACTTTTGGTTAGAAGCTTGCAGTTACTGTGTCGTGAGCGGACTTTCTCTCTTTTGCTTAACAACTCTGTCCAACTTTTTGTGTTTCCTTCTACCCGCAATCCGAGTTTTGTTCGTATGTTATTCGTTGTATTTTGCGCATACTCTAAAATAAACCTATCTTTTTGCCGCTCCTAAACTCAATGTTTTAGAACGGTGTAAGGACACCGTTTCAACTACTCGATCCGCCATCCCTAGTTTCTAGATTGAGTATTCCTCAGAGTCACTACCATTTTCCCGAGTTTTAAGTGAACTGCTTCGAAAAGAAAGCAAGCGTCAGCTGTACGCCGATGCGCCGCACGACGCTTCACTACTTTTCGGTCATCCATAGTCATGCGGCCACTTCCTGTTTCACTGTGTTTGCCGGTGGCCTAACTTGTAACCCTGTGGTGGTCACCGGTTCATATTTGCGCAGGTGCGAAAGACCTCGTAGTGTCCCAAGCCGACATGCGGCTAATAGCGGTCGCGTGGCAACGAATCATCGGTGCGGCGCGCCGATGTACTACCGGTGCCTCCGTTTCACCGAGATACCTTCAGACTCAGTTATTCCTAGACGTAATACTTTACCCGCAATTTCGTTCCCTTAGCCCTTTTGGCAGAGATGTTGAAGCATACATTATTATCACTTAACTTTCTCGTTTGTCTCATTTCGCTCAACATTCATTGTAGACAGCAAGACGCATGACGGATGCGACTCAAACCTGTGCCCAAATTTCTCCCAACCAAATGTCGTCAGCTTCAGTCCTTTTGCTTTTATCCCAAAATAAATTTCGCCCCTGTCGAAGATGAGATCAAGAAAAATTTCGGACCCAAAAAGCGGAAGTTACTGCTCGCCAACGAAGAAAGAGATCTGGCTAGCGATTACCCCCACTTGATTAATCTCTCGGCGGAGATAGCCCCTATTGATTACTTACTTCAGACAATAAGCTTCCCTATTCCAGATACTTTGAGAAATATCCTTACTTCATGTGAAAGTCTTGTACTATATTTCAATAGGACAGATCTTTTGTTTATGTGGCATGATTCGGAGGCTATAAGAGAATTCGTACTTCAGGCTAATGAAGATGTTACAACCTTGCTCTTTGCTGCTTCTGCGAGTCTCTTCGATGTTTATTATCACATGGAAGGCGGCTTTGTTCAGTTGGACGTATGCATTAAACCCCGTTGTATTCCCTCCGGTAACAGCTTGCCGACAAATCTTCTTCATTTGACACAGTATGAAAAGGTACATGATTTCATCACACTTCAACTTCCGGATCACTCACTGGCAATGCAAGATGCCATAGATTTTATCTTTGGACAACACTCGGAAACTCGGTTTGAGTTCGTTTCTCTTGTGAAGTTGCTGTATGATTTTTGTCAGTCCCAACATGAGAAGAACCGGAATTCATGGCAGGGGGTTGGCACACTTTCGTTGCATTGTTTTTTATCCACTCAATTACGACCTTACCAAGTGGATGCGGTTAAGTGGATGATACACAAAGAAACCGAACCTGTCAAAATAGATGAGGATAAGCTATACAGGCTGATGTTCTTGCCAATTACCTTGGAGGCTACCCAACGAACGATTCACTTCTGTATACCAACTGGAACGTACGTGCTACAGTTGTTTGTCATGTATCCTACTCTTCTCACCTGCAGCAACTGTCCTTTCTTAAGTTGCCTAGCTAGTTCCCGATAGTGTGTAGGTTCTTTTTCTATGGAAAGCCACTCTAAGTTAACAAGTGACACCGTGTTGCATTGATTGCTACTTTCAATCGAGGGGCTTGCGAATTTTGGAATTAATCTTTAATGGTGCTAATTTTGTTGGCCAGAGTTATTATGAGGCTTAATTATGAGCATCGACCGATGCTTCTAATTAATGGAACTTATCAACTTCAGGGTTTATTATCATCATACAGTTTACACCTTCGTTAGTCCTTTTGTACACGACTCGCCTGCAATCTAACTTCTCGCCAATTCAATCGTTTTAACTAGAATCGAATAACCCATTTAACAACATTGCAACGTATCGGATGCCGTTGCTTTTGATACTCCTGATAACAGTCAATTAACCCGCTGATCACCATACATTTTGCACGCTGCCTTGGCAACGGAGTTAGTTGTGGCTAAATGCTCGTTTGTTCTTATTGTCGGGAAGAGACAAATGTTTCTCCAGTAGTTACTAAGCTCTGGTTTTGGTACCCGATGTATTAGATATGCGATACACGATTCCGCTTTTGGCTATGATCTATCCTTTGGTGAACCTCCCTTGTCTCCACCAGTATCCAAATTGCTTTTAATCTCTCCCTCTCCCTCTTAACATAGTACTGTCATCAATTTCGCTCACATTTGCACGTTTCAAGTGGAGATAGTCCCAATGAGATTATCGGATTTGTCTGTGTTCTCGGTTGGGATTCGGTTTGTAACATGATAAACAAACAGTCCACTCCTATACATTTCGACAACTGAATCCCTAGCCGCTATTGTAGGGTTTGCTTCGGATCCTGATAATCCGGTTGTTAAGATGTAGAAGTATAGGCTGCTTTCCGTCGTCGGCAATGGATGTGTGGATGGTCTTCTCCCCACCAACTCCTCGAACATCGCCACCTTTACGACACTAGTAGTAGTAGAACCAACGGCCTAATAAATAGACAGGGCCAACTAGAACCAAGAAATTCAACGGATGACAGGTTGAATCGCCGCAGCATTATCGTTATGGCACTTTAGTTGAAGGTGAGTAACACTTCAATTATTGTGCCGCAGGAAAAACGGAACCTTTATTGTTATCTTTTCATACGGCATTTTTTATTTTTGTTTTTTTAATTGTTCGGCTTTAAGTATCTTACTTTAAACTAGTATGTACACAGATCTTTCATTGGTTTTGATTACGCGCCATATCCTGAGTTGTTTCCAGACATCGGCACTCTTCGTCCTTTGGTTCCCAACCGAGTAGACGTGTGGATTCAACGACAGGAAGACGTGAAGTCGATGATTCCACATGCTTTCGCCGGGTGAATGGTTGATCACCGCGCAAGCGAACAGAACGCCATAGGGCAAACGCTAAGCTGACATACCCAGAACATGGCTGACCCATCTTAACGGGCTCAGTAAAACCAGCTTGTTGAAGGGAAAACTCGCCTTCTCTTAGACACGACGTCTGATTTCACTGTTGCAGACACGCTGTTGCCACCACACGCGAGCAATTCTTCTCAAGCACCCATTATCGAAGGCCGGGAGCCGGCTCACTTCATCTATGCGAACTGGCCATGACTCGCTTCCATATAGTAACACCACCTAAACATTGATATTATAAGTACGACCTTTTCCCAAGAGGGAGAAATCCGGACGACGCCAAAAGTGTTGCAGGTTGACAAACGCAGACCGGACTTTGGCGAGAGGGAGAGAAATTTCCTTGCTGATAGCGGCCTCAACAGACACGCAGCTGTTCAGGTATATAAAGCTGTCCACGGGCTCAAGAGTAAGCACAGAAACGGGCGAGTGCCAACCCTGGAACGGCACTTTGCATTTCGATGGGGTGAATCACATTCTGTATTTAGATGCCAAACGGTTTAGAATGGTTTACTTATTCTGTGTGTCATCACCAGGTACTGCGATGTCATTGGCATAATCTGAGGCAGTTCCTCGATTGCACGGTGGTAGGTGCAGACCAATATGTTACTAACTCTCCAGAGTTCTCAACAGAGCGTCTTCAATCGCAAAATTGAAGAGGAACAAGGACGTTGGGCAGCCCTGTCGTACACTGCTATTGACAGCGAAGTACGAAGAAGTTTGTCATAGACCCTCGCTTTGCCAGAGATGTGGAGTGGACACAGGATAGTAGTATACTTTTTTGGGACGCCCTTCCTTAGCAAGCAACGCCATAGCGCAGGTCGATCAACTGTGTCGAATGCAGCATGGATCTCTAAAATAGCAACGATGGTAAGCCTCTGGTAGAGGTGGCGCTATTCGAGGATATTACGGAGTGTGAAGATTTGATCCACATGCTCACGGCCAGGTCGGAAGCCAGGTTGTTCTCGGTACTGTGCCTCACGGATCGGGGATAGTCTACCAAGTTTAGTGGATGTCGAAAATATGGACGCGACAGAAATGAGATTGGTCCCAAGGTGATTAGTGCATAAAGTGCGGACATCTTAAAATTCTGGACAATAACTGACTCGCCCTATGAAGAAGATGCATTTCCTTCGTGCCAGATTTTGGAGAACAATGAGGTTAGCAGACTGATGATAGCTGCGCCACCATATTCGAACAGATCCGAACGAACTCCGTCTGAGCAGACGATCTTGAATCACTTCACATGCCGAATCGTAAGACAAACTTCTACTTCACTAGGTAAATCAACTATAATGAACCAGAGCGGGCAGCTGGGTTCGCAGAGTATACATATGAGCGGTGAGGGCCAACTGAACTGAAAATGAAAATGTTCAGCTCATCGATCTAAGCGTCCCAGTAGGTTATCAATCGGCGAACCATCCGCTTCGCAAATGATCTCATTGACACCGGGCTTCCTGTGTCCAGTCGAGCGCATGAGCTGAATAGCTTGCGAGTATTGCCAGACAGAACAGCGGCCTCCATTCCTGAAGCACGCTGAGACCACCAGGATTCGCGATCACTGCTATACCATAAATTTTTAATTAGATTTAGAACTAGGGACACAACGGGCTATTCGAGCATTTTCACTTCTTCGTTTTTCATCCATTCTGCGCCTGTCCTTGTAGTGTGACTTGGTGCGTTGTCGCCCTAGAAGAAGTATTATTTCTTAGATAGTTTTTGAGCTGATAGTAACATGCAGTTTTTGAGGGCCCCTAGATATCGTTTGCATTGATCATGCTATCAGTGATATGGAGCCTTCCAATTCCATGGGCAGCCATGCAACCGCAACTCATACTTTCGGTTGGGTGCTTGACAAAGAGAGATTGACGCAATGTGGTTTGTATGCTTCCCGTACAGCAAGCTGCGCAAGATGAAACGAGCAGTTACTTGCGAGGCAATGTGCTTTCATTTGTGCGTATACTCGAATTGGATCCAGCTGAATAAGTTGCATATCACATTGCCCACTGCCCAAAGCCACTGGCCTCAGTTTCGATAGGGACGAAAAATCCAGTGGTCAAAAAGGAACACTCCAGTAATACCCTATACAATTCGATAGCGGGCTAAATCAGACCGGGTAGCAGCTTCGTTGGCATGCATTTCTTATTTGTGTACTTCGTTAGCTTCGCGAAGTGCAATAACAACACCGCCAGCGTCGATGCGGCCAACAAAGTGATGCAGAATTTCACTAGAAGTTAATGTGAATTATGTGTACAGAGGACCGAAAACCAGGATTGAGCATAAGATGGCAAAACATCCCATAGCCAGGTGCACCGTGTATTGCAGCATACCGGGCCATGTGCACTATGTTCTCTCCTCAATTCGCATGGATACCATCTAGAGAATAGTTTGAAGCAGAGGCATAAGGTGCATAAGCACATTGAAGTCAAGGTACACTCGCGTACACATCAGGTCGACTCGATTGCTAGCATTGGAGGCAGCGGATAAAGATAATAAGGAGGTTGACAAGGAGGGGGATAACTTTCGACTCAGGCAGCGTAGAATCAGTTGGAGGAGTACACAGTAGGTCAGGCAGCCACATACGATTAGTGCATAATGAGAACGCTTGGTCGGTTCATTTTGTTGCCTGTTTGACCCGATACTGGGCTATCCTGCAATAATAGAAAGAATCCCGGTGTGATGCAGCGGCATGTCACACTATGTCCGTCCATTGTGCAAATTCGGCACCCCTCCAAAATAATACGGCACGGTTCACCACGAACGGTCGCATGGCGTGCACAAACACCGTCGTCGAAATGATAAAACAGATGGAGCAGATACTCGATATAAACATCGAATGGATTGTTATGTTCGGGCACGATGCAAAGAAAACCCTCGGACACATAAGCATCCAGAAATGGAATCCGTTCCAAATGTCTTAAGGGTTGTGTTCATGTGACGATCATGAACATTCTGGTCTTCATCGCATTTATATTGATTTGCGAGCCACAGTGAACAAATTTCATCGTCAAATTAGATACTAACTCATGCATGTGCATCATATGATTTTGATGGTAAATCTGAGTTGAAGTCGAATCGTACTGGGAGCTTATGAGTCCGCCGAATGTTTCCAAAAGTTCGAACATCGGTCTTGTGATCTCCGTTTCTTCCAAAAATGCCTCTTGCCCCGGTACTGCCGACAGATATTTGTCCATCAACCTCATACAATCTGCCTACGCTGAGGGGAACATCCACGGTTCCGTCGGATTACCTTCAGTACTGAGGATCGTAGCAATCCCGTCGTCCTCGGTAGCTTTCCCTTGGCATACAGCTCTATTTGATCGATTTGAGAAGTATACTACCAACACAGTAAAGCAGGCTCTGTTGGACTAGCTTAATCAGCTGCAGTGTTCTCTGATTGTACTCCTGCCGTGCACAGGATGTATCTAAATCATTGATCGACCAGTCGCATCCGCCAAATTCACTCATCGTATAAGATGTGTTCGTCTTGGCGATAAATTGGATAGACACCGCACACTGGGTGTTTACTTCACTTCTGAATA